CAAGAGAGTCCTTGGCTTCACATCGGTTAGAAATCAAACAGGACCCAAAGTGAAGGCTGTTGTGAGACAACAGCGGACAGTGTCTGGGAGACTCAGAAAGGAAAGGAGAATGAGCCTGGTTGCTTAGGGTTAGGGATTTATATTGGAAAGAGTTCTGTGTGTTTCTTTGGGAATCCAGGTAGGGTTGGGTCAAAGGCAAGTGTCCAGTGAACAGTAGGCGTTAGTGCGTAAGTTACGGAAGGTTGGGGTGTTGATACCAGTGTCAACTGAGGTTTGTTTGAAGCTAGTGTCCTGGAACATGTATGGGATCTGGTTCTTCTTAGATGTTATTAGGTGTTTGGCGTCTAGGACAAAACTCAGAGAATGGCTTTCTTCCTCCTTGAAGTGGGAACATATCTTCTTTGGCTTATTCAGAGGCAAATATGGAACACGAGTAAATGGGGCCTAATAGAAAAAATAGCAGAGGTCGATCCTTCCTAAAACAGAGTTCCTTCAGCTTCCCTATCTCAAGACAAAGGGGAGAGGAGAAGCCTGACTAGAGTTTGGTCCAAATAAAGCAGAAGATAAGAAACTGGGCAACCGAAAACACTTAGTGGGTTTGGAGATCCTGGAAGGATCCCATCACTTCTGCCCAGGGGCCTGAATCTAGGGGGTTTATGGAAGGGTTTCTATTTCTGATTCTAACCTTAAGTAAATCCCCTCACTGCCTTTAGATGCCATTTCCTTTGGTCTGGAAAGGAAATCATGACAGGTCCTTCTGGGTTGTGGCGACCTGATGAAAACAGGTGTGTGATGTGTGTCCCCTGTGTCCAGGGCATCCCAATCCCAGGGAGCAAGGCCCTGCATGCTTTTTCAAGGAGACAGCTTTTCTGAGGGCTCATCTTTGGGACAATCGTGGAGCCTTCTTGGACTGGGAGAATAGGGAAAACCCGCAAGAACATAGGTGGGGAGAGCAGCATCTTTAGCATTGTTGCTTCTCTGCTAGGGCACGAGGGCCCCTGGGCAGTCTGGAAGTCGGGAAGTTCACTGGATTTATCTTTGTAGTTGCCATTTGTTCATGGTAAGTGTAGATGGTTTTCTATTGACAGAGAATCTACATTTATTATAAGACATTTATTTACATTTGAAAAGGGAGCCTTTTAGAATACTCAGTAATGATAGTGTGTAGGAGTGTTGTGTCCCTTAGGGTGTAAACATGCAATAGGACCTGGGTTCTTCTCTAGCGTGTCCTGTGGACACTCTTATTCTCTAACATGTAGTCCTGTTGACATTCATTATAGCCATGATCATTGTCAGGACCTTTCCTTTCTATTCATTTATTTCCATTTGGCTCCCTCACTTCAGCCCTGCCTTGTGCTAGCATCCCATCCTAAAGACATCTTGCCCAGTTATCCCATGTAAGTCACCCCAAATCTCTTTAATCTCTTTACTTCTATTTGGTTGTCTTCAGAACTAATATCATCCTCATTTAGTTCCTTTTTGTGGATCTGCCTTTAGCCCTGGAACATGAGCTACCCTTCACCACTCTGTCCCCAAGATTAGAACAGACTGGGCCTACCCCAGCCAGTGTTCACTAAGTGGATGAAGAATGCATGATGCTGCTTGTGTGGAAACCAGTTTCACAAGTTGATATTGCCTCTGTGATTTAATGCCATTTTCCCTGAGAAAAAGGTATAACTTATGATGACATCCAATGTGTTTCAAAGTGTTTAAAAATGGCAGACGTAAGGGTACCTGGGGGGCTCAGTCAGTTAAGCATCCAATTCTTGATTTCAGCTCAGGTCATGATCTCAGGGTAGTGAGATCCAGTTCAGCAATGGGCTTAAAGGGGAGTCGGCTTGAGATTCTCTTCCTCTCCCTCTACCCCTTCCCTGCTCATTCTCTCTCTCAAAAAAAAAAAAAAATAAATCGGGGATCCCTGGGTGGCTCAGCGGTTTAGCGCCTGCCTTTGGCCCAGGGCGTGATGCTGGAGACCCGGGATCGAGTCCCACGTCTGCCTCCCCGCATGGAGCCTGCTTCTCCCTCTGCCTGTGTCTCTGCCTCTCTATCATGAATGAATGAATGAATGAATGAATGAATGAATGAATGAATGAATAAATAAATAAATAAAAAATAAATAAAATACTTAAACAAAATAAATAATTTTTTTAAGAGAGAGAAGAGCAGATGTGACTTTTTTAAAAAAAGATTTTATTTATTTATTCATGAGAGAGAGAGAGAGAGAGAGAGAGGTACGGGAGAAGCAGGCTCCATGCAAGAAGCTGGACACAGGACTCGATCTCAGGACTCCAGGATGATACCCCAGGCGGAAGGCAGATGCTCAACCATTGACCCACCCAGCTGCCCCTAAATAAATAAATCTTAAAAGATGACCAGATCTGCAAGTCGAAGTGAATTTTGACTGTATTCAGGTTTACAACTACGTTAAAATGAAAAGAAAAGAAAAAGATAAGATAGGAATGTCACAAAGCCTACAGATCGTTCAGACAAGAATTATTGGAAGAGGAAGAAGAAAGAGTAGAAATATCCTGATGTATGACACAGAAAAAAACATTTCTTTTAAATATATATATGTTTATATTTTTACTTGTGTTTCATGTCACTTTTTTAAAAAAGGAAACAGAACAATTGTAAGTCAGTATAACTATCAGTTTTCTTTATTTCTCTTTTTGTAAAAAAATTTAAACTAAAAAAAGTATATGTATGTTTAATAGTCCTTCAGTACTTACATTCTCCTTTTTAAGGTTCTTGCATTCACGTATCTTAACACACAGTAACAGAACGTACACTATTATTTATTTTATTTGTTTTTTATTTTTTTATTTTTTGAACGTACACAATTTAAACATCTCGTAAGAAGCTGCCGTGTCAGGGGATGGAAACATTTTCCTCAAACGTGTTTGTCTTCCTATTATTAGTTGCCACTATTAGCTCTACCTAATGACATTTCTGTAATAGAAAACGAAACCCTACAGAAAGAAATACTTCCAAACACCCATTTTCCCCTATTTTTATGTGAAAGTAGTAACACAACCGAGGAATGTCACTACTGTGGCCTGGGGACGGCTGGTTCGGTCAGTGCCCCCCGGGTGGCTCCCTGCTCTGGGGCTTCAGGGGCCCCCAAGCCCGCCTCGCCCAGTAGGGTCAGGTACTCACTCGCCTCGCGCCCCATCACACTCGCCCAGCCCTAAAGCTGGCGGAAGCGGGTCGGGGCGTCCCTTCAGCCACGCCTGCGCCTGCGTAATCCCAGGCCCGACGGGAACTCCCAGAAGTCTTCGGGCGCGGAAGGGGCGGTCCGTGGGCCGCGTAGGTTCTACGGTTTTACAGCCCCGGACTACATTTCCCACAGGCAACTGCGACGAGGCCGACTCAGCCTTGGGACTACATTTCCCAAAGGCCACCGGGGCAACGGGGACCTCTGCCTTTCCCCGCCAACTGTTTTTCGTGACTGTGGGCGCGGCTGCGGACCTGGAAGCCGGAGGAGACAGTCCCCCGTCAGCCTCCAGGGGAGGGCTCTGCGGCCTCAGGCCCGCCCACGGGGCGGCGCGGACTCCGGCGGAGGAAGGCAGTGAGTGCGGGGCGTGGGCGGGGCGCGCGCGTGCGCGGGAGCAGCGGGGATGCGGGGCGGTGATGGTGCGGCCCGGGCGACGGGGCTGCGGGGGCGACGCGGGTGGCCGACTGCCGCTGCGAGTTCCTGCGCGTTCTTGCGCGTTCCTGCGCCTTTCCCCGCGCAGCCAACCGGCCTGCGCGAGACTGACGGTCCCCGGGGGGAGGAGGTCGGAAGTGGAGCCTTTGAACGGGAGCTTCCGAGCGGGAAGGCCGGGAACTGACCTGGGGACGGGCCTGTTAGCGCCTTGAGTTCCTCCCGGAGAAGCTCGCGAGAGGACTGGCTGGGACATGCCCCGGCGTGACCTCCCCCCCCCCCCCCCGAGAGCGCACCCTGGTGGGGGACCTCGGGGTGGGGGTGGGGCGCTCTTCACAAGTTTGGGAAGCGCGGCCGCCCCAGAGCGCGGACCGCAGACACCCGCCTTGCTCTCCCTTCCCTCTGCGTGGGCGCTGCGGTCGCGGTGGTTCTGGCCTGCAGGGTGTTTTCTTTTTTTTAAAGATTTTATTTATTTATTCATGAGAGACACACCCAGAGAGGCAGAGACACAGGCAGAGGGAGAAGGAGAAGCAGGCTCCACGCAGGGAGCCCGACGTGGGACTCGATCCCGGGACCCCAGGATCACGCCCCGGGCCGAAGGCGGCGCTGAGCCCTGCAGCGTGGTTTTCTGAGTCACTCCGAACCCCAGCACACAAAGGACAGCTGTCGCCGCACAGGTCTCCTCTCCAGTTGTGGTAGTCTCCAAAAGAAAAACCCAGAAGACGGGAAATATCTAAAAGTTGCGTATCTAAAAGTTACGATTTAGGCGGGTCTGGTGTTTCCTTTTCGTTCACTGAATTGTTTCAGCAGGACGTGTGTTTTCCTTTGCACAAAGTACTCCACGTAACTGTGACCTACTCTGCATCTTTCCAGGGAATGATGGGGTCCTTACAGATGGAGTCCCTCTCATCCCCCCCCCCCTTTTTTTACCCAATATTCTCATTACCGTTTTAGTTGTTATTTCTCGCTGCTGATTACAAATCATTTAAATAAAAAAAATTAAAAAAAAAAACCAAAACAAATCATTTAAATCTTATTCTGTAATCCCTTTTCTTTTTCTTTCTTTCTTTTTTTTTTTTGTGATCCCTTTTCTAAGAATTTCGATGATGTGTTGTGGGAACACAACTCCTGATGTTTGTTCTCGGGCTGTATTTTAGCCTTTGATGGAGTAAAAAGATGAGCGTTAATATTTGGTTGGCGTACTGGATGCTGCTATACTAGATAATTCACCTTCTCCTGAGGCTTCATTGTCAGGTCTAGCAGGATTGGCATGATTGGCTTAATAATTTCGGTGGCATATAACAGTCGTCTTCTACGGGAAGCTTTTAGAAGTGGGAACGCGATTGTAGGTTTGAACATGTCGCTAGGTCTGTGTCCTGTACACAGTTTTTCCTTTTTTAATTTTTAAATTTCATGTTATTTGTTAGGCCTTGTTTCAGATTTGACAGCAGAGTTTGTTTACACATGTCGTTGAACAGTGAGGGGCAGTATTACCACACTGCTGTTGAAGAATAGGAGTTCTGAGTCTTAAATATCTCGCCTTGAATCCGGGCTTTGCCACTACTAAATGTTTACAATCTACATACTCTGCACATTCCCTTTTTGATTTTATTTTAAATTTTAGTTAAATTCAATTAACATATAATGTACTATTGGTTTCAGAGGCAGAGGTCAGTGATTCATTAGTCTTACATGACACCCAGTGCTCATTACATCCCATGCCTTCCTTTAATGTTCATCAGCCAATTACCTTGTCCCCCCATCTGCCTCCCCACCAGTGACACTCCGTTTCCTGTAATTAAGAGTCTTTTATAGTTTGTCTCTCTCTCTGATTTTGTCTTATTTTTTTCCTCTTCCCCCATGATCCTGTTTCTTAAATTCCACATATGAGTGAGATCATATGATAATTGTTTTTCTCTGATTGATTTGTTTCACATAGTATAATACCCTCTAGTCCATCCACATTGTTGCAAATGGCAAGATTTCAAATTTTTTGGCTGAGTAGTAGTCCATTGTGTATATATATCTTCTTTAACCATTCATCTGGCAATGGGCTTCTGGGCTCTTTCCATAGTTTGGTTATTGTGGACATATCTGCTATAAGCATGGGGTTGCAGGTGCCCCTTTGGATCACTACATTTGTGTCTTTGGGAGTAAATACCTAGTAGTACAATTGCTTGGTCGTAGGGGTAGCTCTATTTTCAATGTTTTGAAGAGCCTCTATACTGTTTTCCAGAGTGGCTGCACCAGCTTGCATTCCCATGTGCAGACCCAGGGTTCCTTTCTCTGCATCCTCACCAGCATCTGTTGTTTTCTGACCTATTGATTTTAGCAGTTCTGACTGGTGTGAGGTGGTATCTCATTGTGGTTTTGATTTGTATTTCCCAGATGTCAAGTGATGTTGAACATTTTTTTCATGAGTCTGTTGGCCTTGTGTAGGTGTTCTTTGGAGAAATGCCTGTTCACGTCTTCTGCCTACTACTTGACTGGATTATTTGTTCTTTTGGTGTGAAGTTTGAGTAGTTCTTTATAGATTTTTTGGATACAAGCCCCTATCTGATGTGTCATTTGCAAATATCTTCTCCTATTCTGTAGGTTGCCTTTTGGTTTTGTTGATTATTTCCTTACTCTGCACACTCCTTTTTCTAATTTTTTAAATGGGGGTAGCAATAGTTTTTGCTTCATCGGGATAAAATAAGGATAAAGTATTAGTGTATGTAAAGTCTCTTAAAACAAGGTCTGAACATAATGAGTGCTCAGGAAGTATTAACTGTTCATTTGGTGATGCCGGGTCATTCCTTTCAGAGTTCAGTAGCAATAGAAATAAGCTTAAGTTGTTAAAAACAAATTCTTTTTTTTTAAACAAATTATTAAACTGAAGACTTCCAAGTGACCACAAACCACTTATAATTGCATACAGAGTTATAGTTTTTATGTGTATTTTTCTATAGAGAAACGTTGTGACTTATTCAATTAACAAAGGTGGTATATATAATAAAAATATTTAAAACCGTTGGTGGCAAGCAAGACTTTAATAGTTGGGAATGATCTTGCACAAAATTAGAGTTCAATATTGTATAAAGGTTAAGTACCTCAGTCTACATTCATGTGATGGAATATTATGCAACTAATCAAAATATGTTTATAAAAGATCAGTCACAAGAAAAAAAATGTATGAAGTAGTTTTAAACTACGTACACAGTTATGGATGGTGGTATTCAGGAAAATCTTAAATTATATATGAATATTGGGCAGGCCCGGTGGCTCAGCGGTTTAGTGCTGCCTTCAGTCCAGAGCCTGATCTTGGAGACCTGGAATCGAGTCCCGCATCAGGCTCCCTGTATGGAGCCTGCTTCTCCCTCTGCCTGTGTCTCTGCCTCTCCCTCTCTCTCTCTCTCTGTCTCTCATGAATAAATAGATAAAATCTTTTAAAAAATTATATATGAATCTCACTTGCTATTGTATGGTTTTATAAGATATTTTGCAAGGATGGGTATATATTTTAATTAGTTAGTGAAGGAGAAGAGGTATTTGGCCACATTTATGGAGTATTCCTTGTGTACCCAAGGCTGTTCTCTCATCTTTGCATTCATATTCTCATTCAGTCTGCGGTGGCCACTTAACCTGAATTATGTCTTTCAGAAAAGAGTCTTGGTTTGACTAGATCTAATTATATTGGTAAGCTACAACTAAAGATGTCCAAGTACTGCTTTTCCCTAATGATGCTTTTTTTTTTAAGATTTATTTATTTATTTTTATTTATGATAGAGAGAGAGAAAGAGGCAGAGACACAGGAGGAGGGAGAAGCAGGCTCCATGCCGGGAGCCCGACGTGGGACTCAATCCTAGGACTCCAGGATCGCCCCCTGGGCCAAAGGCAGGCGCCAAACCGCTGAGCCACCCAGGGATTCCCCCCCAATGATGCTTTTTGATCTTGGTTTTATTAATGGCCAAAATGTATCTGCTACCAATAACTGTTTTAATATTGTAAAATTATGGTAAAAATCTTCATATTAAGTTCTGAAGGTCTGATCCTTGGGTGGCTCAGCCGTTTGGTGCCTGCCTTTGGCCCAGGGCGTGATCCTGGAGTCCCGGGATCGAGTCCCATGTCGGGCTCCCTGCATGGAGTCTACTTCTCCCTCTGCCTGTGTCTCTGCCTCTCTCTCTCTCTCTCTGTCTGTCTCTCATGAATAAATAAATCTTTTTTTAAAAAATAAATAAAAAATAAATTCTGAAGGTAGAATTAGTTCAGACTTGTCCTCTCCTCCAAAAAATCAATAATCTAAAGAATTGATGGAAAAAGTTAAAATTAAAAAAAGAAAAAAGTTACCCATAACTCTAACTATTAGACTGTGTGATAATATATATATATCTGCCCCTGGTTCCTACTAATATTTGGTCTTTGACCTGGGTTCCTGACACAGAGCTCCTAAAATCCTTGTGATTTTCCTGAGTAATAGGAGTGTCTGACACAGAGCTCCTAAATCTCTTAGAATTTCCTGGATGATAGGAGCATCTTTTGTTCTAAAGAGGTGACTCAGGTTCTTGGATGGCGCTTGGTGACTAGGAAGACCAAACCATGATTAGAAGCTTGAACCTTCAGCTCTAGCTCCCATTCTTGGGGCAGGGGCAGGAGAGAGGGACTGGAAAATGAGTTGATAAGCAATCTTGCCTACATGGTGAAACCTTCATAAGAATCTCTAAAGTACAGGTTCTAGAGAACTTCCATAACTCCTCAGAAGCTCCTGCGCTTAGAACTCTTCTAGACCTTGCCCTATGTATGTCTTCATCTGGCTGCTCAGCTGTATACTTTATCATATCCCTTAACGTATAATAAACTGATAAACTTAAGTGTTTCCCTGAGTTGTATGAGCTGTTCTAGCAAATTTTTGAACCTGAGGAGGGAGTTGTGGGAACCTCAATTTATAGCCATTTGGTTGGAAGTACAGGTGACAACCTGGGACTTGTGATTGGTATCTGAAATGGGGCAGTCTTCTACTGAGCCCTTAACTTATGGGATTTGATGCCAGCTCCAGGTAGATAGTGTCAAAGCTTAGAGCTGAATTGAATTATAGGGCATCCACCTGGTGTCAGAGAATTGTTTGTGGGTTTTTTTTTTTTTAATGCATGTTTGGTGTCAGAAGCACTATGAGTATGCGAGTAGAGGAAACCAATGCATGTGTCCTAAACACAGACATAATATTAATATTTTGGTGTGCACTCCCTTCCCCCCATTTTTGTTAGCAGATATACAGGATTTTATTGTATCTGCAGAATAGAATCACACTAATTGATTAAAGTAGCAAAGATTCCTCAACTCCTAGATTTAAAAAGGGAATCTATAGGACTCATTATTCTCTGCATGCAGCAGGAAGAAGAGGGGAGCACCAATGATCCTCTTGTTTGAAAAACCTTGTCAGTTTACACCTTTGGGGATTATAGCAATGTCATAAAAAATGATGGGTGCAGATAAAAGGACTTCCAAGGATCTCTTGTACAAATTACTCTTCCAGTGACAAATTTATATAAGAAAAGACAAGATGATAACAGTTATAAACATGTGCACTGATCTCCAAGTTGCACAGAAAGAACAGGATTCAACCTTTTTTTTTCAACCTTTTTTTAAAATAAGATTTTATTTATTCATGAGGGATACAGAGAGAGAGAGAGACAGGCAGAGACACACAGGCAGAGGGAGAAGCAGGCTCCATGCAGGGAGCCCGATGTGGAACTTGATCCTGGGGCTCCAGGATCACGTCCTGGGCTGAAGGCGGCACTAAGCTGCTGAGCCACCCTGGCTGCCCAGATTCAACCTTTGTTATTTCAGTTTTGCATCGTATTACAGAATGGTGCCTCTCTTTAATTTCTATACAGAAGGGAAATATAAATGTCAGAGACTCTTTCCTGCTATTTTTTAAAAGAAGAGTTGCATTCTTAAGGAATGATTTTAAAATGGACAGAAGACCTGAATAAGCATTTTTCCAAACAAGACATACAGGTGGCTAATGACACATGAAAAGATGCTCAGTATCACTTATCATCCGGACAATGCAAATCAAAACCACAGTGAGATATAACCTCACACTGTTAGAATGGCTATTATCAAAGAGACAAGAAATAAGTATTGGTGAACATGTAGAGAAAAAGGGAATCCTCACGCACTGTTGGTAGGAATGCAGACTGGTGTAGCCATTGTGGAAAGGTATGGAGGTTTCTCAAAAAGGTAAAAATAGAACTACCTTAAAATTCAGCAATTCCACTTTCGGTATTTACCCAAAGAAAACAAAAGCACAAATTTGAAAAGATAGCTGCACCCCTATGTTCATTGTAGCATTATTTACAATAGCTAACATATGGAAGCATCCATC